CTGTTTTTAAGTGGAATAACTACTAAGCCAAGACTGGGGAAAACAATCAAGTTGTAAAAATTACTGAATCCTCAACCAGACAGTAAAACAGGGAAAATAAGAAAGGATGAAGCACAACCCTTCTCGAGAGTTGGTGGATTTAAATACATCCATATAAGTAATTTGTTAATATCTAGGGTAAGCATCTTGAGTCATAACCACCATGATTACCTGCTGAGTAACCTTGGCACCTTTGTCCTGACCACTCTGCAAGCCCCCTCCCTCTGACTTAACTCATGAGGCTCTGCACGCTGCTGCTGTGTGCTACTGCACATGACCATGATTCTGTAAGGCCTCAAAAAAGATTAAACTGTGGGCTGGGAATGTAGTTCGAAGGTACAGTACTTGCCTACTATGCACAAGGCCATGCATAATCACTACTACTACAAATGAAAAATTACTGTCATCCTGGATCTCTGCCTCTTCAAGTCTCCTGTCACCTTCTGCATATAAGGGTCAGCTCTTTCATATTGGATTTTCCTGAAATGATACACGTGGTCTAAAACCCTCTGATTATATCAGATTGTGTAAAAACTCAAACCAACTATATGTTGTGTTTTTTTTAAAGAAACTCAGTCTAAGGCATTGAAGTAAAAGGGAGAATGTTTTATACAAATTGCTACAAGTTCAGAGTGTCTGTATTCATTTCAGAATTATACATCAGATCAAATGCTGTTACCTGGGACAAAAAGGTTACCTTGGCGGAGGAGGGGGGGCAGTTAAAATAGTAGATTAGCAGACATCCAAAGATTTAAAATACATAGAGGTTATGTGGAAAATTTGAGAAGATAGACAAATGTACTCCTGTCAGTAAACTACCTCATTTAACCTGTCGCAAAAGATGTCTCTAAATGGCTGAGTATAAATATACTTCTTCAGTATATACCCGAATGTCTCCTAGATGATAGCATATACATACTCATCACCATGGGAATGCTTGCCCAAATTAATGGATGGGGATGATAGGAGGCCACAATAACACTTGAGAACTTAAATTCCACAGCTACATTTAAAGGTTAATCTACAAATGTAAAGGAAGATTATGAATGACTCCTGTAGGTTAATATTACCTTAGTTTGTACAGAGAGTGACTAGATAAGATTCAAGGCATCTATGAACATGGATGGAAAACAGCAATGTATTCTCATTAAGATCTAAAATTAAAGATTTTATGTATGTAGGTGCTATGGTTTAGATCCAGAATGCCCCCAAAAGCCTCCATGTATTCAGAGATGGCACTTTTAAAAGGTGATTGAATCATGAGGGAATATATTCATCAGTGGATTGATCCACTGGTGACTTCACCGCTGAATATGCTTTTCAGAGGTGTGACCTGGTTGGAAGACGTCTGTCACTGGCCATGTGGCTATGGAGGGTATATCTTTAAGCCTGGCTCCTCCCTGCTCTGCTGCTTGACTGCCATAAGGTGATCAACTGTTCTCCACTGTGTACTTCTACCATGTTGATTCTGCTTTAGAGCTAGCAAACTATGGACTGAATCCTCTGAAACCGTGACTCAAATTAAACCTAAGTTATGGGTCTCAAATATTTTGTCCCAGGGATAGAGAAGCTGACTGAAACAGGCAACAAATCCTAGTACCTACACCTTTGAAATTAACAGAAATGAAAGACCGTTGGTATATTAAGATTGCAATACATTGTTTCCATCTGTTGCTTTAAAATAAATACATTAGACTGAATGTTAATTGTTAAACGTGTATACATGTGTGCATATGCACACACAACCACACTATGTAGACAAACTAAAAAATGATCCCATAGTAGAGGAAATAGGATCCCTTGCCTTCAAAGGCATTTTCTGTCGTGTCTTTCTCTTTTTCATTTATTAGGGCCCTACTTATTCCAAGGCCTAAAGAAAGGCTATTTTTGCCCTCCATCCTGGTATCCTCTGCCTGTTTTCTGCTTCTTAGCACCCACGTTTTACACTATTCTTTGGTTTTGGAAGTTGAGTTATGGAGGTCTGTGAGGCAGTTATGGGTTTCGGGGGGCAAAGTGTTGGCGAGAGGTTGGGCTTTTGTACTTAAGCAGTGGCTTCAGTGACTTTGAAGGAATACAGACTGCTTGTTAATGATACCACTAAAGTAACTTGAAAACCAATAGGGTTGTTCCAACAAGGATCACTGATCTCTGAAGAAGAGACAAAGAGAAAATGGGTCTTCTTGCTGAGCCTAGACATCTGTATGTTAAACACTCAGTGAAAAAGGAAGGGCCTTGGGAATAGATGTCCCATAGTTCCTTGGCATAAACCTTGGGTGGCCATGCTGAGAGAGAATTCATGAGGACTTGCATAAAAGCTGCAGGAATTGGGAATGTTAGGGGCTGCCACATTTGGCCAGTGTGCGGTGCTTTTCACAAGAAGGTGTCATTCACGTAGACTAAAATCTGAGTGGCATCTTTTTGAGAAGAACAATGTACCACATATAGTGCTTATGTGGTGGCCCTGGGGATGGGTTTTTAGATACAAATGGGAAATGCTTTTTGGAATCCTAGGTACCTATTCTTCAGTGCTGGGCTACTGTAAGAAACTTTTTGTGAGGGCCAGGGATTTAGCTCAGTGGTTCCGCCACCTGCCTAGCAAGCAGAAGGACCCGAGTTCGATCCCCAGTACCAAAAAAAAGAAACTTTTTGTGGTTTCTAAGAGACTCTACATAGGAACGCAGATTGCAGGGGAAACAGTTCTACCTAGGTTCAAATATATATGTAGTTACTAAAGACCCTCCTTCTTTGTCAGTGGAGGGTTTTACCCTCTAGATTCCTAAATGCCCTAACCTGTTCTCCCCTAATTGATTTTTTTGGTCATTTGCAAAGTTGTACCTTTAGAGCTTTTATTGAAAAGGTTTTTATTTTAAAAATACTAATAATCGATGGTGGGATCAGTACTTTGGAGATTAACTCCTGGACTTCTCTCCCTATTTCTTGTGGTGACACTTCTTAACTCTTAATGAGAAAGGGAGGAAAGAGGCAATTGGGGAGGAACAGACTCATACACTGGAGACTGCACTGTGGTAGTAGAATATGGTATGTGTGTGACAGAAGGTGGTCATAGGTTTTCCTTTCCTGTGCTTCTAGTCGGAAAACAGTCTTACCTCAACACATGAGGAAATTCAGGGTTCTTACCAAGAGTAGAAATAATTCATTTTTTCTTCCTAAAATGTTTCACATTATAGAACCTGCATTTCTTGCTTACATCGTCTCTTTTTCTTTGCATTCTGAGGATTTTCAAAGTCTTTAGATCTTGAATACCAGACGTATTCAGAGGTTTTCATTATAATTTTATGGTTTTGGGGGAGTGTTTAGTTTGTTTCAAAGGGAATTTACGTGATTTCTGTTTGGTTTTGAATTCCTTTTTTCTTATTAATATGAGTATAATTTTTGTCACTTTGTACGTGCTATTTGACTTGATTTTGTTTTTGTGCTATGTATGCCTTAGTTCCAGTTGCCATAACAAAACACCATAGAGTGGGTGACTTAAACAATTGCTACTTGTCCACCGTTCTGGAGGCTAGACTTCTAAGAACAAAGGGTCTACATGGAGAGTTTCTACTGAGAGTTCTTTTCCTTGGTTGCAAGACAGCATCCTGCTCACTGTGTGTTCGCACAGCCTTTCCTTGGTGCATGCATTCGGTGGTGGTGGTGGGAGACAGAGAGACAAACAGAAACAGAAGAGATGAGAGAGGAGAGAGAACCCATTTTGTGGATCCTAGCCTTATAACCTCATCTAAACCCAGTTATTTTCCAAAGGACCTCATTTCCAAAGACAGTTCACATTGGGTTCAATGTATAAATTTCGGGAAAACATAATTCCATCCATAGTATTGCATTTCTGTGTTTGTCCTCTGCATTGTTTTGTAACATTTTGCATTATATTTTGGACACTTTGTTGCAGGACAAATTTGATATTTTTAATGGAGTTGTATTGTTTTTAATCTATCTTTGTAATTTTATTTACTTGCTAAGAATATTTTTATCATTTGGCAAATGATAAAATGTTTCTGAGTTATTGGTATACTTTTGTGCTTGTACTTAGTTTGAAGTTTGTTTTTTGTAAGTTTATTGAGGACCATTATTTACCTATATTTGTGTGTACACACATATTTGTATGTGTGATGGTTTGCATGCTGAGTCCTGAGTTGTGTCCATCTTGTGTTAGAATTATTTATGTATTCATTTTTAAGTCATATGTTCTTTGTATATAGTTAATGTTTAGTTTTCTGTTTTTATGGATGTTTGTGCTCATTTTTGCTACAATATATTTATGTTTGATGTTATTTGATGTTATCATTGGTTGTGCTGTTTTGCATGGCTTGTTTTCTAATGGGTGTTGAGTTTTGTTTTGTTTTTTAATTGGTTCTTTTGGGTTTGTGTGTCTTTCTGTAAATATATGTGTTTGTTGGTTTGGGATTATGTTGTAGTGTTGGATTTTCTTTGCAATTTTCTTTATATTTTGCTTTTGCTTTTTGGGGGGGGGTACCGGGGATCAAACTTGGGTCCTCAGCTTTCGAGGCAGGCGCCAGAACCCCTGAGCTAAATACTCGGCCCTGCTTTTGCTTTTATCATTGATTGGGAATATGTGTTTATCTGTGTGTGGCTGTGTTTGGTTATATCATGGTGAGAGTATTTTTTAATTGCTTGGATTTTATACCTAGACTTGAACTTAAGGTTAATTGTGTAAATGCAGGTTTCAATTTAAAAACTATTGTCAAGTGGTTCGTTCAAATGGCAACAACAGTTTACACTCCTAACTACAAAGTGTGATAATTTCAATGTCATTCTTAACAGTTGGTACTATGTGTTATAAACTTTAGGCAACCAGAAGAAGGGGCTGTATTTTTATATTATGGTTTTATTTTGCCTTTTACTGTAATACTTTATTATTAGTATCTTAGTTACTTTTCTCATTGCTGAGACAAAATACTCAACCACCCACAGGTTAAGGGAGGAAAGGTTTATTTAGCTCACAGTTTGTAGAGTTTTCAGTCCATAATCAGCTGGCTCTAAGGCATAGCGGATACAAAGTGGCATGGCACACAGGCATCGCAAAGGAAAAAGAGTTCATAGCAGGCAAAAGGTAGCAAAGCAAGCAAGCAAGGCAGACAAGACAAGCCTCTTTCTGTCCCTTATATTGTATCCAGGCTACCAGCATTAGGGCAGTGCCAAACCAATCATCGGGCTGATTTAGTAATAACCTACACTTAATCAGAGCATCCTTAATCCTAGCATTGCATCATGAATCAATCACACACTCCAGATCCAGCCACCTCTGAAGAAGCCCAACTATGACTGCATGAGGCTTTGGGAGAGACATCTAGACACAAACCATAACACCTAAGTATAGAAGGTGGCAACCTGTAAATACCAACCGATGCAGATGAAGAATAAAAGCCTCCAATATGGCTGACTAGAGGAGGAATCATGTCACAGGTGCTCAGAGAAGACTGTCTAGTAGGGGAGGGTCTTACATCCTGAACCACAAAATTAATGGGAAATGATACTTGTGGATAAAAACTAAAAACTGGATCACAGGAGAAGGACAGAGGAACTGCCATGGTTGGTCTGCACAGCTCCAGTCCCTACCCCTCCTCCCTGGAGCAGCCTTTATGAGAGCTTTCCAAATAGCCTGAGGGAGGGAAGCACAAAGGAATGAGCACTGCAGAAGTGGACCCCTGTGGAGACCACACCTGGGTCAGAGTCTGGCCAGCCCTTTGCCCTCTTTCCTCTCCTCCAATCACTGGGCAATGCTGTGGCCCTGTAGCAACCTCACCAGTACTCACCAAGGGCCAGAGAGGGAGTCGCCGCCGGGTCCTAGGGTTCCACACCAGCAGGGTCTCTCCTGAAGACCCCTCTGGTGCATGAATGCCATCATGCAATCCCCAGGACCCAGCCAGAGTGCCTGTCCACGCCTGACTCCGTGCACACACACACACACACACACACACACACACACACACACCCGGCCTGCAAATGCACTTGCCCACAGATTCTGCCACCCTGCCTTGGGGACTAGTTCCTAAACTAACCCCAGGGACAGCATCAGAATCTGCCTGAGCCTGCAGGCGAATTCCTGCAACTGGGTTGGTTTGGGTTGTTGAACAAGGGATCCTGCTGTGGCTGTCTGAAGTGAGACTGCAACTGAGGCAAAAGGGAACTGTGTGAAGACTCGGGGGTTTTTTGGCAAAGTGGACACATGTGAACCGCATGTACAGTCTCTTGCTAGAGTATTTGATCTCCTCATCCTACTTGACCTCAACCCTCAGCATCAACTCCCCAAGTGAAAAGACAGAGATTAAAAGACTGGATCAATAAACAGAATCTGTCAGTGTTTTGCATTCAAGAAATGCATCTAATCCAAAAAGATATGCATAACTTAAAAAATCAAAGGATAGAAAATAATATTTCATGCACCAGAACCCCAGTAACCAGCAGCAGTAACAGTATTACTCTCAAAGTAAACCTCAAGCTAAACCTGGTCAGAAGAAACAAAGAGCATAACTGCATACTAGTTAAGGGAATGATCTCACAAGAAGTGATAACATTTATAAATATATATGCCCCATATACTGGAGTGCCTATCTTTATAAAACAAACACAGCTAGATGGAAAAGATTAAACACTAACACAATCATGGTGGGTGACCATGATACCTTATTTTTGCTTTGAGATCAGCTAAACAAAAAATACAGAACTAGCAGAGATGAACTATATCCTTGATCATATGGACTTCATAGGTATTTGCAGTGTTCTACCGTACAACAGTGTACACACTTTTCCCTGCAGCACACTGCACTTGATAAAGACAATATACTGTCTATACATAATGGAATACTACTCAGGTATAGAAAAAGATGCATGGGAGACATTTGTATGAAAATGGGTATACCTGGAGAATATAATTTTAAGTGGAGTCAGTCAGTCATACAAGCTTAAATACCATATGGCATTTCTGACTTGATTAAGGCAATGTGTAAATAATGAGCAAAATAAAGCACTGATAGAAGGAAACAGGGAGATCTCTTGCAAGTGGGAAGGGGTTTAAGAAACCAGGGTGAGGGGAGAGTGGATGGGGAAGGGGAAGTAAAAAGATTTAAAATGTGTTGTGTACATGTACCAAATACCTACAAGGAGGGTAAGTATTATATGTCAGAAACACAAAACAGTAATAACAAGAATGATGAAAATGGGCAAAGGGGACATAAAAGCAGAGGGAGGAGGGTGGGTGGAGAGTGGAAGGGGAATAAAAACATAACTGAAATTATTATGTCCGTGCGCCTACTCCCTAGGGTCATTGTAAACTTCATGTACTACAAACATGTACTAATAAAATACAAAAAATATTTCAGGATAAGTTTCCATTCATTCTCTGGTCAGGGTATCAAGTGAGAGAAACCTTACAAGACAGCTGTTGGCAACACTACTCCGCCCAAATATCATGTAGAAAAATCTCCTACCAGTAACACCCTTCCCTAACTATAAAAAGGCAGACCTACTTTTCAGCCATGAGATATCTATTGAAAGGAAGTCAAGAGATGGAGGGATGGTGAGGGAGGGGAGAGGAAGGGACAGAAAAAGAATTAAGATGTGTTATGTCCATGTACCAACCCCGTGATGAATGCAATTTCCTACTGCAAACGTCTACCAATAGAAACTCTAAAAAATAGATACATATATGGAATCTATATGTACCTGTGTGGATATGGACATTATTAAACATCTACCTATGGCAACAGTAGGTAGTTTTGCCTCTGGGTTGTTGAAGAAGTGAAAAGTTTGTATGAATAGAGTGAACTCCCAAAGTAAAATTCAAACATGACTGTAAAAATAATAATATTAAAATAGGAACCAGAGCTTCATAATACTCAAAATATCCCGATTGTAATAAAAATGTTATAGTAAAAATCAGGGACATCTCAAAAATCAACAGGCACCAAAAATACAAAGATGCTAAAGAGATCTAGAAGGATTATAAGGTACTGTCATAAAAATACTTCCACAATCTTAAACACATACCACAGACACTTTTGAAAAAAAATATAGAAAGTCTCAACACATTTTTTAAGATGTAAAAGGAATGAAATAAAATTTGTTGAAATGAAAAATTCAGTAACACATTCAGGTGAGTTTCATAGTACCTGAACCCAGCCTAGATCAAGAGACTTGCTAAAGGATAAACTGATAAGATAAAAGCGCGTGCGCGCGCGCGTGCGAGAGAGAGAGAGAGAGAGAGAGAGAGAGAGAGAGAGAGAGAGAGAGAGAAAGAGACGAAGTTTTAGTGTTTTACATGGCTAAACTGATATAGCCACAAGCGGTGAAAAGTGGGCTAGGGGTGTGACTCAGCGGTACTGCACTTGCTACCCCTATCCCCTGCAACTTCAAAAAACAGCAACAACCAAAGGTTTGGAAAGAGAAACCTGTATGGTATTCTGAGAAAAATGTAGTAAGATATTGTATATAACCCTAAATCAAACCCTAAAGGAAAACATACAGAAGCCTCTCAGTCCTTACAACTGTAACCAATATTTAGGGTTTAGATTCCTTCTAGAAAATCCTTGCAAAACAGTAGTGCTGTCACATGGTTAAGGTGAATATATTAGATTATTCTTGTGATTTCTAACAAATTAACATTTAGCAGGGTTCAGAATCAGGAGGTCAGAAGAGAGACAGGACCAGCCCTAACATAATTTACATGCTTTCCACTTGTTCATATGTTTCTTTTGTTCCTCTTCATGTTTTTCTCTTTGTTCCACAGGTAATATAAATGAATCTCATGGTCAGGAAAAATTGGTGGGTCAATAAGAATGTGCTTTTCTTCTTCATAGTTCTAAATTAAGAACAAAATCACAATGCAAATAAATTAAGCTCCAATTAGACTGGATAATATATTTGTTACTAGCTAACATCCTCTTGGGAAAGTATAGAAATATCTTTAAGACAGGTGTGGTGGTGCATACCTGTAATCCCAGCACTTGGGAGGCTGAGGCAGGAGGATCGCTGAGCATTAGAGGCCAGCCTGGTCTACACGGTAAGGTCAAAGCCAGCCTGAACTACATGGCATAGCGAGACCCTGTCTCAAAAGTGTGTATCTTTAAATGTAAAGTTACTGCAGGGTCACGGAAGCAAGTACGAAATAAAAGAAAATTCCCAACAGGCAAAAAGCCTTTTCCACATAGCCTCAGGACCATCAGTTTTCTTGGGGAGCCCTTGCTAGCATGGGTACTGGATTAAGAATCTTGGCCGTCTCTGGCAAAGGCACTTCACTGGGGAGAGGAGAAAACCAAAATGCAACACCAGATTTTTTTATTTTATAAACCAGTACATGTGGTAAAACTTACTGCAGATTTGAGAACTATCCCAAAAATATCTGTAAGGAAGACTGCGATTTATGGCAGTTTTGTGGCACTGCTCAGCGGGTAGGGTGGCCACAAATCCATGAATAGTGGCATAGCCATGGCATTTGTCAGTTTTAAACACACCAAAGTAAAAATCTCTGAAAGGTAAATTTCAGTCTCTGGCAGTCTTTCACGTCCCAGGGGACAGAAATCTCTCATGAAGTCCAACTGGGCCATGCCAAAGCCAAGGCATGAAGAGAAGCTGGACTGACTCTTACTAAAACTGAAATTCATCATCGATGCAGCTCAACCTATGATGGAACTGAGGTCACTTTTACCACCGTAGTTTGCTAACTATGGAAATAGAATTTTGTAGGGTGGATTAAATCAACTATAAGTATATCCTCTATGATTATTGTACAGCTCACTATCTGATGTACATAAACAGTAACTGGCGTGTACCAGTTTCTTAAAGTTGTGTCAGAAAACAACAATTTGCTTAAGCAGTGTCACTGGCTGATTCTGTGCTACATAGGATGCGTTGGGTAGTTGGCTCAGGGAAGGTATGGATTACAAAGTGCAAAATATTTATTGTTTCTCTTTACAGAAAATGGTTACCAACTCCAGTCATAGGTGTTCAAAATAAAGGGAAACTCTTAAAATCAGCCCAAAATAAAAACATACACTTTAAAAGAAACAAAACTAAAGTCACAGCTAATGCTTCCAGAAAAGAGAACACACACAAGACACCAGACAACTGGAAATATTTTAAATGTGAATAATGAACATTCTTCAGAATTTAAGGAAAGAATGTTTTCAGCCAAGAAAAAATAAGCTCACAGCTTTTACGGCCTCTATAGTTTGCATTACATAAAATATTACAGTTGTGTGGGCTAAAAGAAAAACAGTTTGAAGGGTTAACTGCAGGAACAAATGAACAATAATTAGTTATTAAAATACGGACTTTCTAAAGAAACAACATCAGTAATATCTTCCTGTGTTCGTCATACATTTCAAAATAAAATATATAAATATGTAACAAATAACCACAGGGATTAGGAAAACAATAAAACTTTAAGTGTTCAGCACAGTTTGGGAAAATGAAGCATAGTATCCTAAAAAGTAGTCTGTGATACATGAGTGATCCATATTAAAATGACTGCTTTGAATGCAAATCTAAGGAGAAAAATAGTGAACAGACATGGAAAGCAGGAAAGGCAGCATAAAGGGGAGAGAGAATATAGACTGAATGGGAGATGATCATGGTAACACACTATACTTTTTGTCTAACTCTATCAGCAACTGCATTGCAAAGAGTGTCAAAAATGTATACATACTTCAGGAAAGGAAAAACTTGTATCAATATTTTAATACCAAACTGACTGAGACATCATGAGATTAATAAAAGTTACCCTTTGGCCTCTGCAAATAGGAGAGTTGCTCAAAGTGGTGGCCATGGGCTTCCAGGCATTTATTAGTACAGGGAACTGCTGCTTGCATAACCTTGGTCACTGAGATTGCTGCACATGCATTTTCAATTTCTTCTCTAAGGGCCAGCAGTGTACTGAGTCTTCTGTGATACACGACATCCTCTAGGGTCCCCCACACAATTTTTCTTTTCTTGAAGTGTGTGTATATGTTTTGGCGAACTCTGTATGTATAAATGAAATGAACTTCTCTGGTAAAAGATACATTTTTAATTATAAAAATGCAAGGAATTTCTATGTTACTTATGAGAAATAATGTGTTTAAGAATAAAAAACAAGATAAAAATGGAGAAAGATACATTAAAGAGACTACTTTTAAAAAGTGTGGCACATAGAACTGAAATATACTTCTCACTGAGGTATATGTCAAAATGAAGTATCTGTGGGCCGGGGATTTAGCTCAGTGGTTCTGCCACCTGGCTCGCAAGTGTAAGGACCCGAGTTCAATCCCGGGAACAAGAAAACAAGAAAAAAGAAGAAAGAAAAGAAATCAAGTATCTGAAAAACATGGATAAAAAATATGGAGCTGAATATGGAGCATGGGAAACATCTTTATCAGTATCTAGTAGAAAAACTAGGCTAAATAGCTGTGATATAAAATAATTTAAACAATTACATTTAAGAACCTAATATAGTTGATACCTCAGTTGTTGAATGGCTCCAAGTTCAAACTTTCCACACCCGAACAGCAAAGTTGGAAAAACAATCTGCTTGGCGTTCTTCACTTTCCTGGACAGTGGAACGGAAACTCCCACCTGAAAGACCTGTAGGGATTGAGAGTAAGTCAGGGGTCATGTCTGGCCGAGGACACGAAGGGGCGACTTCAGTCTGAGTGCCGCTCTCACCCGGACAACCCACAGCGCATGTGTTAGTGTGTTTCGTCATTATGCGCCTTTTTGTGCTTTGTGTAAAATATCACAACCACAGCTCCAAAGAAAGTTAGTGACAGCAGCAGTAAAGCTAAGAGGAAAACTGTGAGACCCACAATAGAGTTAAAGAAAGAAATCATTGTGAAATTTGCTCAAAGTCCTTGAAACATGAATTGATCAGTGTAATTTTTGAGCTTCAAAACCTATTACGTGGTTTTCCATTATTTCTTATAGGAAAAACACATGCAGTTCTCAAACTTTTCAGTATTCAAACACAAATCTGAACAAATTGAGTGCAACAGCCAAGGTATCATACATACACACATACCTGACAACTCACACAAGGCTGTAAAGCCTGTACACTTATAACTGCATTAACATGTTGAAAAAAATTAAAGCCCAATTTTTACTAAATGTTATTCTTTTCATGTTCTGCACTTCAATTTATCCTTATTATTTATATATATATATAATGATTATTAAAACATTGACCTTGCAAGAATTACTGATTGGCTTTTTGAATTATTTAGGTTGTTTTATATATAAGGTCATGTTGTCTCTGAAGGTCAACTTATATTACTCTGTGTGTGTGTGTGTGTGTGTGTGTGTGTG